CTGAAGCAGTAGAAGTTGCTCGACGTTTCCTCACCAACTTGCAACAGGTATGCCAGATTGTTTATCTATACATGCTTTCTAAAGGATATCTACAAGGTTTTATTTAGTTGTTACTCTTGGGGGGTAGGGATCTCATGTTTTGCATAGGCCACTGTACAAAAAATCTAGCGAGAGGCTAGATATGCCCTTCATTCCAAGACACAATTCCATAAATGCCTTGATAATCCTCTAAGATCAAAACATATTGTTAACTATGACATGGATATTTTACTTTTGTGGTTATCTGTGTAGACTATTCTCGGGTGGGAGACGGACAAACCTTGGCTGCCAAAAGACAGAATAGATGAGGTATTTTGTTCACCTTCAAAATTCACTTTATGATATTTTCTAAATGAGATTTCTGCTTATCTTGCGGCAAAAATTTGAATACCCTTTTGCGTTTCAGTTGTCGAGCAGTATGGACAAGTTGAAGACTTGGTTGGATGAGAAGGAGGTGGAGCAAAAGAAGTAAGTTATTGCTGCTAGTTTTATGTTTAAAGTCATTGCATTCGTATAACTTAGTGCGATGTCGGATCTTTATGTATGTGTAATAAATGTGTGTGTGTGTGTGTGTGCCCCTCTATTAATTTCTTGAAGTTCCTAGTACAAGTCCCAACATAGGTATAGGGTGGACCAAGGACCCTTGTTAATCTTGAAAGATAATCGGACATATCCATGTCCAACACAATGCCCATATTTGATTCTCATACCGGAGTCCGAATAATATAGCCCTTAATGACACCCTATAACTCTTCTCTTCTCGTCCTAATATTTTAGTTGTATTCTCTAAGAAAGCATATGTTTTCCGCCTGCTATAGTGTGTCTCCCGTTTAATATGCTTTCGAACCTTGTTCTTTGGTGCTCAACTTAACAAAGCTCATTCTAACCTTCTCTCCAGGATGCCGGGTTACAGTACGCCTGTTTTCACGTCTGAAGAAGTGTACGAGAAGGTATTCAATTTGCAAGACAAGGTATGGCTGCTTGTTCTATTTGATAATAAGGTCACCTTGTCTGCTTAAACGCGTGTAACTCGTGGTTAACACGCCGCTTTTTGTTTAGGCTGATAGCTTTAAGAGAATTCCGAAGCCTAAACCTAAAGTTGAGAAGCCTCCAAAGAACGATACCGAGAACAAATCAGAGAACACAACCAGTTCCGACTCAACTCTTGAGAAGGATACCTCCGAAAACGATAAACCAGCTGGGGACTCGGATGGTTCAACCGATGAAGAAGTGGATGGAGAATCCGAGCCACACGATGAGTTATAGTCCATTTTAGCACAAGAAGCAAGACTCGTTTAACTAATTTATATAGTCTTTCAGTATCTTGAGATAGATGGTAGCATCCAAGGTGGTTGGAAGGCAGTTATGCCGATGGATTCTCGGTTCCCTCCGTCGGAGCATTTCTTGGTAGTCTAGCTTTGCCCCGGTGACGACCTTAGAGAATTTTGTCATTGAAAAGGAACTACTGTTTCGGTTTTCGATATCCTTAAAAAAATAGATAGATAGACAGATAGAAAGGATGCGGACCTTGAATCGTAAGGGACTGATCTTGGGAATCAAGTTAAAGTTGTTAGGGTTTGTAACACCCTCTTTTGACATCAAATGTTTTGTTATGGAGTTGTGATCTCGAAATTCAAACTTAAAATCCATAGAATTATACTTCTAGTTGGATGCGTGGATTGCATGTTTTATTAGCCTCGATAAATAAAAGATAATATTTACTCGCGATATTCTCAATCATTTAACAGTTAATGTTTATTTATTCTTACAAATGACGTGTTCAAATTCAAGACATCAGAGGATGATAATAACTCTTTAACTATTGAGGTTATATAGTTCGTATAATTATTTTATAACACATAGTTTATAACATAAATAAGTAGTAAAATTTACTTCTAGTTAAATATTGTAAGCAATTTTTTGAAGGTAAATATTGCAAGTGTTTTCCCCCACATATATACAACCAAATAATAACGCAATCGAAACTTAATTCTAACTCTCCATAATCTCAATAAATTAACAATAAATGCAAAGCATAGATCAAGGAATAAATTGAGAATATAAATTTATTTACATGAAAATAAAAATTAAAAAAATAAGTTGATAAAAGAAGGTAAGAATTTTCACCTAAAAGTTGACTTTTCCAGGCCAGTTATTGAAAATATAACCAAATATGTTTCAGTACGATGTGATTATGAAAGATTGATGTATTAGGTTCATAAGATAATCTTTTTTGATATAAAAGGTGTATAACGTTTTTAAGAATATTTACAGATTAAATTAATTAAATTGTTAAATAAAAGAATAAAACTAATTAAATTTTTGACGAATTTTAATAATTTTTACACATTATTATCATGTTATATATTATAATTATATAATATTCAATTACTGAAATTTAAAATAAATTATAAAAAAATATCATTTAACAACAATAGAATATAATATATAATATATAATATTAATTAATTAATATTAATTAAATAGTCAATTGATAAATTTTTAATGTATATAAATTTAAGAGTAAAGTACACGAATAGTCCCCGACTATATAGTATTGTTTTGTTAAGTCCATTGACCATTAAAAATTATAAAATGATCATCTGATTATAAATTGTTATTTTGTTAAGTCCTTCAACTATCAAAAACTATAAAATGATCACTCGACTATTTATTATGTTATAAACTTGTCGTTTCTCGTAAAAAATTGACGGTTGTATAAGTTAGACGTTAACATGATTACTGAGATGTAATGGTCGTTTGAGATTTTGAGATCGGATTTTATCATATCATATTCAACAAATTAACTTTCATCTCATAATATCATCAATTTTTTAACTGAAAAGGATGAATTTAAAACATAATGAATAGTTGGATGATCATTTTGTAATTTTTTATAGTTGAAAGACTTGACAAAACAACACTATAGTCAGAATACTAATAGTCGATAACTTAATAAAATAATACCCTATAATTTAGAGATCATTCGTGTACTTTATCCTAAATTAAATCGAATACAAAAAAATCATAAAATTTAATTGACTTTTATTTTGAAATTTTACTGCTTCTGAAGTAACCTAAATTTCCCACATTTTTTAACCTTTTTGTTTTTATTTTTTTAAATTTATTTCCATTTTTCACGTATATGTGTAGGTGATATTTAGGATAAATTACAAATTTGATAATTGAAATTTCAAATTATTCGTATTTTATTTATTGTATTTTCAAAATTTCAATTTACTCACTCAATTTTTTAAATTGAATTTTTTATCACTATACTATTAAATAATTAAAGATATTACGACGTTAAAAATTATACCAAAATAAAATAGTTTTGAATATCTAGAAAAATTAAATTTTCACTAAAATAATATCGTTTTGATCTAAATAAAAAATTATATTTAATTTTCACCTATATTTTTTTCATTTTCCTCTTTATTCTTCTTCTCATCCCTCTCATTTACATTTTATACTGTGGAAGCTGAAATCAAACAACCAGAAAATGATTGTTCAAATCTGAAAAAAACAATCATTGGAATCGTTCCCATTCATCTTCTTCTCAATATTCACTTGGCGGAGTTCCTTGACCGGAGAGTCCCTGCTAATGTGAATCCAGTTGGTGGGGTTTTCTCATTCGATATCCTCATCGATCGAGCCACTGGCATCCTGATTCCGGTTTATAGACCGGCTATCGGTGAAGAGCCTCAGCCGATTATTGTTAATCTTGAGAGGCCTGTTACGGCTGAGGTTGTCCCTATTATAATTTTCTTTCACGGCGGAAGCTTCGCGCATTCCTCGGCAAATAGTGCTATATACCCCACCAACAGGGACTCTCCAAACAATCATTTCGTTGCTGCCTTCGATGATTTGCTTGTGAAACTCGCCTTGATTAATCGTTCCCATTCATCTTCTTTTATCTTTCTACACTTCAGCTTCCTCGTCTTCCTCTTGTTCATCATCATTGATAAAGTTGACTGAATATGATCAACATAGCCAAATTTCATGAATGAAACCCCATTTCCATTCCCATTTCCAAATTTTATGAATGAAACTCCATTTCCATTTCCATTTCTATCTTTCAATTTTCATGTTTATCTGCTGGGATTTTGGGGTTAGGTATTTGTGGTTTTGCATAGGATTTGTTTTCTGATTAATTTTTGTTTTGTTTTGAGTTCACTCGATCTAAAAAGAGGAAGCGAGGAAGTCTAGTTCGATTAAGTCAAGGTTTTTGCTTTGTCCGACCACCGTGGGCGGTGGTCAAAATAATGAACGTCACAGATTTATGAAGAAGGATGGGTTCTTGATGGGTTTTTTCGAAGAAAATGTGGGGGTTACGAAGTAAAAATCAAGGTTTTTGGTGTTATGGTTGCTTTCCCGTCATGGTTAACGACGGTTGGAGGCGGGGATGGCCACCAAAGTGGTGGCCGATGAGATGTGCTAGGGTTTGGAGTCTTCTTTCGAGTTAAGTTTTAATATTATATGGCAAAAAAAATTAATGTCTAAAGTTAAGTGATAAATTGAAAATTTTAAAAGTACAGTGAATAAAATAAAAATAGTATAAAAGATCAATTGTCAAATTTATAATTTACCCGTATATTTATGATCTTATTAGTACAAAGCTTTAAGCCCTCCCAATTGCCATCTATTTCTCGAAGTCGATGCAGTCTTCTTCACGCCCATGCTCTTCTTCTTTAGGTAAACATCACTTTCTCATATTAATTTCATCATAAAATTTTAATAACAATTGCTTCCTTTTCAAGAGAGAACCCTAGATCTCTCTCTCTCTCTCTCTACAGTTTCTGTTTCTGTTTATGTATTTATTTGTTTGTTTGTTTCACTCTCGTTTTTTGTATTAAAAAAAATCATGGATTGTGAAAAAATGAAATGGGTATTTCTTGTTTTCAAGAACCCTTTTTTCCTCAAGGCTTTGATTCTTTGTTTTGTAATTTTCGTTCACATAGGACTTTGATTCTGTGCACAAATCAGTCAAGAATTGAGAAAGCTTAAGTGGGTATTCAGTATTCACTGTTTTTGAAGGAAAAAACAACTAAAAGGGGATTTTTTTGGGTTCAAAGTGTTGATCTATGTGTGGTTTCAGTTCAAAGGGCTGATCTTTTGTGTGATTTTGTTTCAGATAAGAGCTTGGTTAAGTGCATAAACGGTCAATAATGGAGAAAAATGAAGTGGGTGTTTAGTGGTTTTGAAGAAGAAAGGGAAAATTATTGGTTCTAAAGGGCTGATTTTGTGTATTTTTGTGATTTAGTACATACAAAAAGTGAAGAACTGAAGTGGGTGTTTTCCTGGTTCTGGAGAGGTAAGGTGATTTTTTTTTTGTTCAAAATGGTGATCTTTGTGTAATTTTTGTTCTCTCAGGAGCTAGGTTTAGTTCGTAAACCGGTCGAGGTTGAAATTTTCGGTTTGAAGGACTGATCTTTGTGTAATTTGGTTCTCAGGAGCTAGGTTTAGTTCTTAAACCGGTTGAGGTTGAATTTTTTCGGTTCGAAGGACTGATCTTTGTGTAATTTTGGTTCACATTGGTGCTTTGTTGAGAAGATTTTTGTTTTGGAATGGAAGGAGTGATGGGTGCAAACACTGCTCAAACAAGTTCAGTCAATAAATCCCAAGTTCTGGATGTAAAACCGGTACGCACTTTGGTTCCTATATTCCCAGGGCCGTCCGAGGGTGCTCCTTTTGTTTGTGTATCTCCTAACGGCCCTTTCCCATCCGGGTTTTCGCCCTTTTTCCCATTTAGCGGATCAAGCCCTAACCAAAATGGCGTCAATCCAACTGCTTCACCGATTCGACCGTTTACGGTCGAACCTTCTAATGGCCAGAACGAATCACCACCGATGGCTGCACGTGGTGATCAAGGACAGAAACCGGCTACAACAATGGCTGCACATGGTAATCAAGGACAGAAACCAGCTACACCAATGGCTGAACATGGTAATCAAGGACAGAAACCGGCTACACCGGTGGATGCACACGTTAATCCTATCAAGAAAAGGGGTAGGGGAAGACCGAGGACTCGGTTTCCTTAGTAGCCGCTGCTTGGTAATCTCAATGCTGGAGTTAGTGTATCTGAACAATAAGATGTTAACATGGGTGACTAGGCTGGAAAGCGTGGGTTTCTAGGTATGATGCATTTAGGAGGAAACATTAGCCGAAAGGAAGATGCGAACGAATCGAATATTCCGGCAGTGCTGGATACAGGGTTGCCGACTGATACGAGAGAGATAATCGGGGTCGTTTGATGACGGAATCGTAGACCATCGATTTCTTCCTAATGGTGATTTACAGGGAGAGCTGTTGGTATTCTTTGAGAAGGTAGATTTTCGTGTATTTCTTCTTCTATATCGTATCCTTGTATCCGTTCTCGAATATGCGTAGATCGCGAGTTTACACAAGTACTTTAAGAACAATGAAGAGTCGAAATCTTTCGATATCTATCGAGCTTATTCGGATTTGATTTGGTTTGATTACTATATTTTATTTTGATATTTCGAAATCGATATAGCAACCCATGTTTAAGCATGAAAGTACAAATTCCAAAGTGATGTAAACCAGAAGTAACACATAGTAAAATACAACTCGCTAAGTCTGATGCCACAACCATCATCGTCGATCGTCTCTCAGTAGACCGACCATGATCGTCATATACCATTCTATCCCGCACATCACCATTACTCCTTCGATCATCTTCGCTATACCTACTACGGCTTCCATGGTGCTCATCCACGTCCCTTCCACGAGATATCTGTATTTATGGTCCGTCTCATCTTGTTCCCTCTTCATCCCTGTCATGCCTTCGTCCACCTCTCCGATCTTCGTAACCCCGATCATCTCTCTTAGATTCACTATCTGGTTTGCTAATCTTACTATGAAGTCTGCCGTGTTGTCTGCCACTCTCGTCGTCTGGATCTCCTCCAGACCTGACTGGCCTAGAATAATCATCCCCCTCCCACCTAGAGTATTCATCCTTATCCCGGTCATTTTCCAAGCACCTATAATATCCATCCCCATTCGAATCATCTTTTTCCCCATAAGCTTTAGCCACTGATTCAGAGTCGAACTTGGTATCGTTAGGATTATGCCTTTTGTGCTCCGTGTCTCTTCCTAAGTTTCGACTTCTTGACTCTGGTTCTGATGAAAGTTCTTAGGTTTCGTGGAGTCCCCCCGGCAAAATTATGGGCGAAACTAAGCAGGGGCCAAGTTAGAGTCTTGGTCCTTGTTAATTAATTTTTTTAATATTAGTTAATATCAAAATATTATATTTCTTAAAAATAAATAAAATAAACTTTTTTGAGACCCTTAATTAAAAAAATTATATTTTTGAGAAACAAAAATATTTTTTAAATTCCTTCCATAATTTTTTGGTTTGGTTTTTATTCGTATTGTCTGTCTGATTTCTTCATAGTTTTTTAGGTCGTGAGTTTTAAACTTACTAAGAATATTCTCTTTTCTTTCCATCACGTAGTGCTTTTTTTTTTAAAGATCTTGAATTTGAGTAGTTGCGTTTGTAGAGTAGAGTATATGTGTGTCGTCAATAATCAAGATATATTTTTAATAGATATTATCTTGTAAATTATCTTTAATTATTCAAAAAATTAATTTATTATAGTTAAATACATATGATTCCCTACACTATTTATTTTAAATTACTATCATATTATTGAACTAGATTTATCTTATAAAATAATAGTTATTGGTTTAATTATTATAAATATAACAATATAATGACTATTTTATAATAATTTAATAAATCTAATGATTATTCTATAACTTTTGAAACTTTATTGATCAAAATATTATCTGAGCATAGTTTAATGACTTTTGGTGCATTTTATCATAATAAAATAAATCTAGAGATTAAAATGTAATCTATAGAATAATACAGGGACTTGCACAATACTTTTACCCTTTAATAAACACAATGAGCTGTTTGGGTCATCCACTGGCGGGCACCCAACTGCTTATGATATATCCATAATCCCTGAGAATGATCTAAAACCCTAGAACCCTCGAAACACTTCACCGCAAAATCCCAATCTCTCGTCAGCCTGCAAATCCCGACTGTTTCTTTAGCACTCGGTGATAACCCAATGAGACCTCGCTTCAATTCGTTTCACCATCAACCCCAGCAGGTAGCCTTCTTTGACTCTCTCTTACACTCTTTATTTCACGTCTTTTCGAATTTGGAATTTGATTTTCATTGATCAGAATGGATTTCAGTCAAGTTCGGGGGGAAACCAGGGCACTAGCAACATGAACATGCTTATGATGCAACCTCAAATGGGTATTTTTAATATTAATAGTAATCCCAGTGTTATGCCATTGTTGAATAATGTTGGATTCATGAATGGAGCTAACCAGCAGTTTTATACGCCAAGTAATAATTTGGGGTTTCCTCATTTCGGTCCAATTTTGCCGAACCCGAATAATCTTTCGATTATCCAACAACTTCCTGCTCAATTCAGTAACCCTTTGCACAATCCGAATCAGCCGAATTGGTTGAATTTCCCCCAACAAAGTAATATTGGTTTGACAAATGGGCAGCCGCCGCCGCCGCCGCAGCAGCAGCAACAGCAACAACAGCAGCTTTTTTTACAGAATCAGTTGCAGAATCTGAGTCGGCTTTTAAATGTTCAACTCCCTCATCTCTCACAGCTTGTTTCTGGTGGTCAAGCAATGGGATGTCTCAATCCTACTGCTGTTCAGAATCCGCATTTCGGGTTTATGCAGCCAAACCCGATGCAGCAGCAAACTTTATCCGATGTTAATGCATCCAATTTGTCTTCTGCAGCAGCTTCACAAGTACAAGGAGACCCTTCTTTGAGAAAGCCAATGGTATATGTTTTTACTCCTTTACTGTTTCAACATTGTGCTTAGAGGCTAGAGCTGAGTACATACTTCCATTTTTCTCAATTAATGTTAACTCTGAAATTTGTTTGAGAAAGTCTGATTGCCTTTGGTCGATTAAAGCATCTATTTTAGGGGATGCAATTCTTTCAAAGTTTCAATGACTTCTGAGAATTTGCATTATCTATTAATCAGTGACTTCTGAGAATTTTGAAGGATATACTTATTACTGAATATGCTCCTTCAGTTGGGAATCTTTTCTTAATGGCTTATGCTATCCCTTTTCCCTATACAGAACTTCTCAAGCAGTTTTGAAGTCATTTAATGAGAAAATTTACAAATTGTTAACCTGGAAAGGTTGATACATGGCATTAAATGTTCTTTCCATAATGTTTTGGGTCTATTTTATCTTTTGTTTTGGCTTTTGAAATTAATATGCCTTTTCAATTCTTGAAGAGCGGTCCCGGTAAAAATGGTCAGAACGTGAACAAATTTTCCGGAAGAAATGCTAAAAGGGATGCAAAATTGGGGTTGGTATTTTTAAACATCTTTCGGTTTCTAGTTTCTCTTTGTAAAAAGACTTCGATTTTTTTGGCTTTTTATACAGCTGAAATTCAATTTTTGTAGATTTCAGAAGTCTAAGTTCCAGCAGCCTCGGTTCCATCAAGCAGATAATGCAAAGAGAACATTTGCATCTTCTAATGGACATAAGAAAAAAGGTTAACATTTTAGTGAATTTCAATTAACCTATAATTTTCTGCTTAATGAATTTCAAGTAACTTAAATATATTTATCTTTATTTTGTCTTAAAACATCCAACTAAAAAGATTAAAGAAAGAAGAGAAATAGAAGTTATTTGACATTTGCAATATCAATAAAATTGTCACATCATCTGCTTTGTAGCTCAAATGGAGTCATTATAGATGAACTGGGACATGTAGGAGTTCAAATCTAAACTCTTGATTTCTTAATCTTGTGTTTGGTTATCTATTCTCTAATGAATGATATCACAATTGTTTCCTAACTAGTAATTCCAATTATTTGATTGAAAATTAAACTGCAAGGTCTGGGTGCTACAATAATTTCTTTGGAATAGTCAAAAACAGGGTTTAAGTAGGAAATCCCAGCTAGTCATATGTTTCAAGATATAGAATAGGATATGCAAAGTGGATAGAGTGATCGATGGAATTTGCTTTTAGTGTTGATATTTATGTTTCAGACTGAGAAATATGTTTTATTCAAACATTTAATTTACAATTGCCAAAAAAAAAAAATAGATGGAATGTTTCCTGTTTTATTCTTTCCTATTGGTTGGAAACTAAAAAACCGAGAATGGTTATTAAAAATATAGTTTGTTTGATTTATTTTAATTCACATGTGATTGCCAATGTATAGATATCTAATAATTTATGGTTGAGATGAAGTACCGATTTGTCACCATTTCTTTATTTTTTTTTTCTCTTTTAAAAATTAGCCAGACAATTTTTCCCATGCATAATTTTACGTTTTGGTGACAACTTGAAAATAGATATTGGATTCCTTTCTACCTATCATTTTCTTTTATTTCTTTGGAAAAAATTCTAATTTGTTCTCACTTCGGATAAAAATAACAGACGGGATAATGAGAGGGCATCTTACTTTCCTCATCCTGATTCTGCAAATCCAGCTAAGGAAAAGAGAAGGTAATTTTTGTTTGCTCATACTCATCTATCAAAATTATAGGAGGTAACATGGGGCATTTTTTAGTTGAATATGCTTTTACAAATGATGTATGCTACATCCAGACTGTGGATATCATGATTAAATCATGGGTGTTTTAATGGTATCGATTGGGGACACTGGGTTCTGTTGAGCATTTACATGAATCACTTTAAATTGTAAGTTAAATGGTATAGGATTGGCGTGAGTTGAGAACTGAGGATGGATTGCATTAAGTTCAAATAAATGGGTTTTATACGGTTAATTTTATTAATTCCTTTAATATCGCCACGGTCGGAATCATTCTATGCAATCATGTTAAAAACATTAGTTGCCTAACCCTTAATTGATTCCATTTCAGTGAGTGTTTAAGTTCTTACTCTTATAAGGTTGAATTATTGATGATCAGTCAATTTAACATCTGCAATTCAAGGCCCTAAATGTCCCAGGATGAAATTTCACTTTTTGAATGAAAATGGAACAATGAATGCTCATGCGCTATTGGTTTACTTGTTTTCATTTGCTAATATCAGAATTTTTAGAATTCCACAGCGTTTTGGTGTTTAAGTTGTATGAGTGTAGCTGTTTAAATGTATGATAGCCTAGCATATTTCAACACTTGCACAAAAGTGTTCGTGTAGTCTTTGATAATAATTCCCAACAGGGAGGCTAGTGGGACCGAACTAATTCTAGTTCAGTTTAGTGAAACCATCCCCAACAGATCTTCTTTTCCTAAGCTATGATTAACATTTTCCGTACTTTGTCATATATTTTCTCGCATGTTAGATTTATGTGTCAAAATTCTTTTGTAAATGAGAAGATCGCTTGATTTGACTATACGGAGCAAGAAATAAGACAATGGCGTGAAGAACGTAAGAAGTTCTATCCGACAAAAGCTATAAAGAAGGTTGAATTTAGCTGTTGAATGCCTTTCCATTTCACTTCATTTTTTCATTTAAACATGTTCGATGATAATTGACTTTGTTGGCTGCAGAAACTGAGTAAAAGTAGCAAACACCGAGGTTGCCAAATTACGTAGTGAGGTACATTTCTTATTTCCTCCTGATCTATTACGAACTTGTTTGTATTGCATAAACCTGAGCATAGGATCAATTTCATCTTAAAGGGGATCTATCTAGTCTACAAACGTTTGATGCTTTCCTCTTATAAGCCTGTTGTGTGTCTCGTCCAAAGTATACATGTCTATTTGCTCGTCTCTCCTCTCTCTATTTTTTCCTCAAGTATCCTTGTCCTGGTACATTTCGGACTCTGTCTAAAAACATAATGGGTGCCCCTTGTTCCCATATGTAATGGGGTAAGGGGGAGGTAAGATAGTAGGCTGCCCCCAACACCAGGTTGAGAGCAGCTTCCGTAGAAGACCTCCTAATTATGAAATGCCCTCCGTAGTAGTATCTAAGATTTGAGAAAATTGGCATTGTAAGCATGTTTAAAAATGATAAATATTGATGAAAAGATTACTAAAGTTTCCGGTATGGGTTTACAGAATCTAAAACAGGCAATTAGTGTGTCACGATTAGTGCACGGTGGTCGGATTGAGGCTTCATTGTCGCCAGTCTATATAACTGAAATTTTTTCTTGATATCTTCTTTCTTCTTGTTATCTATTTATTTCCTTGTAATATATCCAAACCTTTGTTGCAGCAACTTAAGGAGATTTTGGCAAAGCAGCTGAGCTAGGAGTCGAAGTTGCAGAAATTCCGACACATTATCTGTTAGGTTCGGAGAAAAAGGTGGTAAGGGAAGAAAACCACAGGCTGTCAACCAAGAGGGAAGATTTGGAACGAGGAATGATAAAAGAGGGAAACTGGATAAGAGGGACCGTTTTTCCAAGAAATGGCGACCAACAGAGGAGTCATTTGATGGCTCTTCCTTCAACAAGAGGAGTCCGACCCTTCTGCAGAAGCTCTTAGTGCTGATATAAGGAAGGATAAAAGCCGGTTGTTGCAGGTTTTCCGATTCATGGCTATGAATTCTTTCTTTAAGGATTGGCCTGAGAAGCCGTTGAAATTTCCCGTCGTGATTGTTAAAGATGGTGCGTCCGAGGGTGAGATCATTGAAGAGAAACCCTTGCTTGGTGGGGAAGATAACATTGAAATATGCAACAACAAAATGACTCAATGTATCGTTGATGCCACTGGTGATGACGATTTCGAGAACACAACGACAATGAAGATGACGACAAAAACCATGGCACAAAGGTTGCTTCGTACATTCAGGAGAAGCGAGAGAAAATTGCCAGGAATGCCGAGGAAGAGGAAGAAATCATCGACTAGGTAAATTTTCTCCCCCGCCTCATCTAGATGCTGCTCCTTTAGTGTTTGTGCATAGCATATCATAGCTCAGCTTGCATATTTTGAGTATAATTTTGAGACGACTTTAAACAACAAGGGACTGGACATTTTGACATACTCTTGATGCTCAATGTCTTTTTTGTAATTTAGCTTTAACTAAAATGTTATTGTTTTTTCCAAACTGTGGGTGAATAATACTTCTAGTGGAGTGGTAAAAAAATTATATATCAATTTTATTAAGTGTAATTTTTTTGGGGGGATGTTTTAGCTATTTGTTATTGATGAATTGATGCTAGACTAACAGGTGATACTTGCGTTTTTCGGAAAATGGTTTCCTTATTTTTTTTCTCTGTTTGATAGTTGAAAAATAATTCTTGGAAAATATTTTCGGGTGTTTGATAGCTGTAATTGGTCTTACGAAAATATTTTCGAGTGTTTGATAGTTGGAATCCATTTTCAATGTAATTCATTTTCTAGTTCCTTTGTATTTTTTATAATGTTTTATCATCTGATTTTTCGTAAAACATTTTTTAACTTTTCTGTTGAACCATGTTTTGTATTTTGATATACCAAAAGTGATATATTTTAAAGAAATTTTAAGATTTTACATTTGATTTTCAAATTAATAGTCGATCAAATTGTTCGAATATTGAAATTCTTTTTAAGATTAAAAACCCCATTTTTACTACATATTCTCTTGAAAATTGAATTATATATACTGGAATAATTTTAAAACAGTTTTACAAAGGGTTTCATATTTTAATCGAGTCAAAAATTGATTTTAAACTTTGCAGTACCGATACTGCAAGAACAATACCAATATTGTTCATATAGTATTGATACCGGTATTGATACTATTGTGTAAAAATAGGTAGTAGTACCGATACTCGATATGGAAATACCGATACTCCATTAATGGTTTTGACAAAAAACGAATTTCAGTAGTTTTTGGTATTGATATTGTGCTAGATACTCTTACTAGAGTACCGATACTCCCATCTTTCGACCGTCAAAATTTTTGTAATTAATGCAGTCAATACCGATACTCTAAGCCTGAGTATCGATACTCAAGGAGTCTGAGCAACATTTAATGTGAGAAACTTCATCCCAACTACTCTATTAACTCCCACAATAACCTAAAGGTTAGAGTTGAATGAAGGATATAAGAACAAGATTTCAAGCCATATGTGAATACAAGAGATGAAAAAGAAAGCTAAAACAAACACATTGAGTCAAAATCAAGTCAACATTCTTCGATATTATTTTTGCTTTTAAAGAACACTATTTACTTATTTCTTGAGTAACACCACAATAGACAAAAAATTGTTCCGTAACACCGCAACGAATTTCCAAATTACCCGAAATATAAATTACATTGATAAAATAAATTTGACTGAACAATAAATGATATGAATATTAACAAACATTTAACTTAGGATACATCTCTATATAATAATTGAAGATTGACTATAAGAATATACATTAAACGATAAATAATATTAGAATACTAAATTTTGGATGTAAAATGTATAAATATATATTATAAATAATATGATTTTTAGAAACAATCACGGCCGCAACAACCTTTATTTATGTAACGTTCGTAGCATCCATAATCGTGACATCACAACCGCATCAACGACAGACACCGCAACCACAATTTAATATGGTATATGGGCTTATTAATATCACCGAATGAAGACTTGGTGACCTTT